GGGGGAGGAGGAGGAAGAGGAGGGGGAGGAGGAGGAAGAGGAGGGGAGGAGGAGGAAGAGGAGGGGAGGAGGAGGAAGAGGAGGGGAGGAGGAGGAAGAGGAGGGGGAGGAGGAGAGGGGCTAGGGGAATGCTCGTTGGGCCTAGTTTTTGGGGCTGAGGCCTGGCGACTGGGTTCAGCAGTGACCCCCCTCCCTGGGGATGGAGACTGGGGTACAGAGAGGAAGAGACTGTTGTCAGAGGCCCTTGTGGTTGAGGACGGGGGGTTAGAGCTGACAGACCTGGGTTCAAATACTAGTCATGGATCATGGACCAATGCTTTCATTCCTCTGAGCCTGTTTCCTGGTATGCAAAAATAGGGAGCAGGGTAGAGCCCATGTCCTGGGGGTTATTGGGGGTTTAACAGAGAGGACGCCTTAGCAAGGACCGGGCACTATTGTTGACATAAGCAGCGGCCCAGAAGAAGAGAGGGAGAGGGCGTCTGCAGGTGCTGGCGTTTTGTAAACCATAAAAGGGAGCTCTGGGGTAAGCAAATCGTCAAGCCACAGTTAGTTATGGAGGCCACGAGGAGCGCCATTTTGGTCAAGATGGGAGGGCCATTGACCCAGAGAGTGAGGCAGAGGAGCCAGGCTTTCATAACGCCTCCCACTTCCCCTTCCCGCTTCCCCTCACTTCCTCCAGATTTTCCTTCCTGGTTGCAGAGCCTGCCTGGCGAGAAGACCTCCTCCGGGGGCTTCCTCTCCACCGCTGGTGGGCGCAGGCTGAGCACACCTCTGGGGACCCGGAGGAGGGGGAGAGGAGCCGCTGTGGGATCGGGCACTCTGCACCCTTCCCCATGCTGCCGGGCCCCCGCCCCCAGCGTGGGAAGACTGGCCAGGCCTCCTTCCCTCCACCCCACTCCCCAGAGTCCTTCCCCCTCCCTCCTATGAATCATCCTCGCTGCCACCAGCCATGCTGTTGGCTGTGGCAGCTCCTCACCTGGGGGAGAGACAGCCCATCAGGATGGGGGTGGGACAGCTTGGAGGCTGAGGACCACAGCCAGCCCTTCCCTGCTTCCTGGGGCCGGTGCTCCAGAGAGCAGGTTGGGGCTGGCCTTGGGAGTTGAGCATCCTAGATTTAGGCTCAAGGGCCTCGTCCTCTGCTAACTAGCTCTGGGGTCTTACGCAACTTTCTCAGCTTCTCTGAGCCTCCGCGTCCTCATCTGTCAAACGGAGCGAGGAAAATCATGATGACCTTCAGGG